GTTGGTTTAGAAGTCCACGCCTCTATCCACCGGGTCACGAGCCCGTTGCCCTGTCGGTTTTCGATCGGGAATCTACAATGGTAGGGGCGCTCACCGATCGTTCATACGGAACTCACTCGTTCCGTTGTGCCTTACGGGCTCTCTCTCGAGCCCAACCAGCAGCCGCACAGCGGCGCATGATACATAGGCAGAATGGCATTACCGACAAAGACAAGAGAGACTGGAATGGCCATTTCTGGTTTATTAGCCGTCGTCAGCCAGCCATACCCAAGCCCGAAGTGTGGAACACCCGAGCCTCTAACTCGCGACCAGGGAGACTGGAATGACCATCTCTGGCTTATTAGTTGTCGAGTGAGTTTCGTAAGGACGATCAGCGAGCGCCCCCTACCATTATATACATGTATATATCTAAACATGTCAATCAAGCGTTTGACCCTCACTGTTGGGTCAAGTGAAATCCTCGTCAATGACAAGGCTTTTCTCAACAAGTCTTAGAAAGCGGTGCCGCAAATATTTGTTTGCTCTAGAATCACTCAAACGATCTAAAGTTAAATCTTTTACGGAGGCGAAATGAGAAGTCAGAGGCGGAATTATTTTTACAAATATGCGCTGATTTTTGCAGGCAGCATTCTAAAGCTGTTCGTCATAGTTCCCTTCTAACTGCTATCAGGAGACTGGAAAACCATCTGGCCAAAGAACATTGTGGATATAATAAGCGTGAGATTTTATACTGCATTGTTGATAACCAGATGTTAGAAATGTGAAAAGTTTCAAACCGACAAACATTAAGCGCGCTATCATGCACAAAAGCGTAAAAATTTATAAGCACTCCCAAGCATCCGAGTAACCCATTGAATTTGTTACGAAACTTCAACCAGTGAGTTCAAGAAACGCTTAAGCTGTGAGTGAGGGCAATTTCTCCAAGCTTATCTTCGGCTACTTATTATAAATACGTAGTTGTTTTGTGCAGTTATCAGTGCCAAGAAACGGTGCGTGGATAAAGTTAAAGGCAGCGCGTCTAAAATAACCGCGTTCCGGAGCAAATTCCTCAGTTCCACTGGCATTGATTCGCAACAAAAACATCACAAGCGTACATCCTGCTGATGGTGAAAGCTAATGCTACCTTGTTCGTCTGGAATGCCATCATTGTCATCATCAGTGTCGTACAAGTCAATGATTCCGTCACCGTCAGTGTCCTTCAACTCCAGTGCGTCAGGTCTTCCGTTGGAATTGGCGTCGAAAACTAAAGTGACGCAGGTGAAAAATATAGGAGCAGTATGATTTCATTAGAAAATACGCTCGGAACGCTAGTCGTAAACAACTTTCTTGAGGTTAATGGAAATCTGTTGCTGAAGTGGAGATCTTATCTGTAAAGAAAAAAGTCAGTTCTCATGTTCTTGGGAAAGCGAGGGAAGTGACTGAGACTGATTAAAGAACACATAAACATTCGCTTGAAGCAGCACATCCTGCGCTCGCATTACTTTGTAAACGTAATTCAAGCATTACCCGGAGGGTAGCCTTTAAATTTCTGCGTACTCACAAGGCTAAGACAGTCCTTCGAATATAAAGACTACTTTTATACTATTTACAAGAAGAAAGCATTTGCATGGAATGTTAACTAAGGTCGTTGTACATACCTCTCATTTGAGGAGATTTAGACTTGGGGGACCTGTAGGACGGCGAGTCTTCGTCAAGATAATCAGGGACACCGTCACCGTCGGAATCTTCTTGGTAATCAGGAGTGCCATCACCATCTGAATCCCCCTCTAAGTCATCCGGAATCCCGTTATTATCATCATCATCATCCAAAAAGTCGGGAATCCCATCACCGTCAGCGTCTTCCAGATAGTCTGGAATGCCATCGCCGTCCGAATCAC